TGTACTCACTTGGATGGTGTACTTTTTGGATAAAATGCTTGGATGATTTGTACAACAATACCATTAGACATCTTGTCCATAAAACTCATGGCACCATAGACAAAGGCTCCAGTTTCCTATCCAAATATGGACATTTGTTAAACTCATTAACAACTTCGCTATTGTGCTTGAAATCCTGTACCTCACTTCAGTTCACTCGATACTAGATCAGACAGGGCACGTTATTTATTTATTTTAATGCCTCTGTCTGAACTCCCACTTTTAATACTCATTTCTTATTCTACCTCAGCCTTTCTGTCATCTCGCGTACAACTGTTCATGTGTTACATTTTCAGACTCATACACGTTTTAATACTTCAATTAAATCACCCATTACTCCGTTGTATCACATGTTACTTTCAATATCACACATTAAATAGGTGGAATACATCTTACAAGTTATTAAATTCAGCTTGCGCGTTAATTATTTCAGCTTACGCGTACATGTAATTCAGCTTGAGCTTTACTTATCCGAGTCTGCGCATTACTTACATAATTCCATGTAATTGACCTTGAGCATTACCTATTCGAGTCTGCGCATTACTTACATAATTCCATGTAATTGACCTTGAGCATTACCTATTCGAGTCTGCGCATTACTTACATAATTCCATGTAATTGACCTTGAGCATTACCTATTCGAGTCTGCGCATTACTTACATAATTCCATGTAATTGACCTTGAGCATTACCTATTCGAGTCTGCGCATTACTTACATAATTCCATGTAATTGACCTTGAGCATTACCTATTCGAGTCTGCGCATTACTTACATAATTCCATGTAATTGACCTTGAGCATTACCTATTCGAGTCTGCGCATTACTTACATAATTCCATGTAATTGACCTTGAGCATTACCTATTCGAGTCTGCGCATTACTTACATAATTCCATGTAATTGACCTTGAGCATTACCTATTCGAGTCTGCGCATTACTTACATAATTCCATGTAATTGACCTTGAGCATTACCTATTCGAGTCTGCGCATTACTTACATAATTCCATGTAATTGACCTTGAGCATTACCTATTCGAGTCTGCGCATTACTTANCTCGCACGTTAATTATTTCAGCTTACGCGTTACTTGCACATTTACATTTAGTTCAGCTCGCGCGTTAATTATTTCAGCTTACGCGTTACTTGCATATTTACATTTAGTTCATCTCGCACGTTAATTATTTCAGCTTACGCGTTACTTGCACATTTACATTTAGTTCAGCTCGCGCGTTAATTATTTCAGCTTACGCGTTACTTGCATATTTACATTTAGTTCATCTCGCACGTTAATTATTTCAGCTTACGCGTTACTTGCACATTTACATTTAGTTCAGCTCGCGCGTTAATTATTTCAGCTTACGCGTTACTTTCATATCTACATGTATCTCAGCTTGCGCCTAACCTTTTTAAAAATTGCCCATCCCTAAGCGTTCAGTTTGGTAAGCTGTTGCTAATGGTGTTTCTCCCTCCATCCAGATTTCTAAAGCGCAAACTTTTCGTATTTTGATCAATCCGTTAAAATGTTTCTATACAAATACATTTTTTTGAGTTATAAAATCTACTTACCACATTCTCTCCTATCAAATCGGCCAGCATTGTCAACGCAGTAACGAGTAGAGTTGATCCACCGACACCAATAAGAATGCTAGCACCRTATATCTGACCATTTCGAGGAGGCAAAAACCACATCCACGTACTAAACAAACAAAAATACCCTTTAGTAAACCTTAATTGAAAGAGCGCGGTCTCCCTCTCTCCACAACATTTGCCGGCCGGCTGATTGAAGTAAACTAAGTAAGTAACTTCATCAGCACTTAAACAGAAAGGAATATATAGCCGGAGATGTAATCTGCCCTAATTGACTTTAAATTCCTCTTTCTTAAGGAGCATGTTAGAGCGGATTTCGTATGACTGTGCAACGGCACGTATCACAACACGGGAACGGTACGGTCACGGAACCTCGCGTTCTTGGATTCCAAATAAAAATAAAGACTTAACAATACATCACCACCACGGCACGGTACGATCACAGTGCGAAATACCGTGTTTTTTGCACAGTCATACGAAATCCGCTCTAAGTAAAATGTCAATCCATCCAAGTGATTCTCCGCTTTTTCTTTACACCTCGGTAATAATAATACTCTGCGAACAGAGCTACTTTTGATCACTTTTCTCACCCGCCGAGAAGCGAGAGAAAGAAAAGTAGCTCTGTTCGCAGAGTATAATAATAGAGAGCTGACTTACCAGACAGCAAATATAACTAGCGATCCTACTAGGAATACTCCCTGAATAAAAAATAGAAAAACATTTGATTAYAAAAATGCAGCATTTAGGTAAAAAAACACTACAAGGTAGGAAAGCATTAAGAACTCTGCGCAAACTTCGAAATATTTTGCAAGTTTACACAAATTCATAAATTCTTACCTGACGTCCAATGTACTTATTTAGCGGCTTTGAGAGGAACGTTGAAGCAAATCCACTAACATATATTATCAATGGCATAATAGCTATTTTATCCTAAAAACAAATAACGAATAGTTAATTCGCATGATCGCAAGATTGTTGTCACAAAAAACTGAAATACACAATTTACAAATAGAAATGTAGACAATCACACAGGGTTGAACTAGTCTCTTCGTATCTCACTATCTTACTATTTGTAAAAGCTTTTTTTGTGAGTTTCTTTTTATGGCAAGACTCTTGCAATTAGAAGTATATATATGTAACGATGTAGGTTATATTCTGTTCCTCACGCTTACATATATTGCATGGGCTTAACTCGCCTCCTAAAGCTGGGTGCAATTCACGTTTTCGTACTCCTCCTTGACCAACTATACTTTTAGCCGGTACCGCGGTCGAACTCTCTCTCACGCACAAAGCGCGACTCCTTAAAAGTGTCTACCAAGGCCCATGGGACGATAAATAAACAACTTAACATTTCAAAGCTACAAAATAAACCCCTATCACATAAATAATATTTGTAGCCGTTTTTTTTTGTGAATGCCGCTATTTACCAGATTATCCACTGGATTTCCCTTGTCCGGCGAATAACTATATCATTCACTATCCAGMCTTGTTACATTCCACTGTGTACAAAATCATTTTTTGGAATCTGCCTTAKATCTGTACATAATGATTTCGTACTACCCCATTCATATATTGCTTTCGATATTTCTCTTGTGCTTGAATTATCATTTTCAAATCAAAGTATACGCTTATCTCCAAATGTTGCCTTTTAGGACTTTTCGCCAAGTCGAATAATTCGGAAGATCAAGCAGCTAAATTCGCAAATACAACTTTGCCCTCCGGAGTGGAAAGGTATGCTGCGGTCTTTACGGTTCTACTTAAAAACCGTTTTCTATATCTACTTTCAACAAATCAACCTCAATCTTGGACGTCATAAATAGGATATTACATGGGCGTGCGGAGATACGGATTTTATCTTCGAGTGTTGAAACATCTCTCACGTGTGGACGTAGCGAACGCGTGAGAGATTTTTAACACTCGAAGATAAAATCCGTATCTCAAAAGGACCATGTAATATTCTGTTTTCCTAAATCGACTAAGTTGACTTCCGGGTGTTACGTAGTCTCAATTTCACACGAAATAGAAGCTGGTTTGATAAACCTTAATAAGTAATACAAGATTCTTCTTAGAATATGACATATCCTTTATGGTTGGTTAAAGTGATATTTAGCAAAACAAGTCAGGATCCTAAATAATCGTCTTTTCTGAAATACTAATCAATTCAATATCCCATGAGTGTGAAGAATCTCTATTCTTGTTTCAACTCTATATAAATCAATAAAGCATGTTCTGTTGACCACATCTAACTGGTATTCCAGATTAAATTCGTAATTAACGAATACATATGAAGTGGAAAATTCTGGATACGGTAAGTTTTGACGGGGACAACTGATGTAGTACGTACCTTGGTAAGATGAAGCGTCTCCAATGTGTACATTGGTATATACACCTGCGTTATATTAACAATCAAACGAACACACATGTACATTATGGCAGTCTAAAAAGCAAAAATAATGTAAATAAGATCAATTATTTACCTTAKTTACAGAGGAAAAATATCGGTGGCGAATTCAAGATTTTAGGAGGGGCGGTTGCTCTTTCGACAAGTAAAGTTATACAAAACGTTTCAAAACGTTTGGCTACCTGACGATCTCAAAAGGAACSGGTTTCTTTTTAACTCGAAGACAGCGAAGCAATCGAAAGTTCTTGGAATTGGTATTGGGAAGGGGACGAATCTCTCACTCACGAAGTCACTCACTTTCCTGTAATGCACTAGTCAATTGAAACCCCCGACCCCCGAGAAATATYGAGGAATTTAACGTTTGAGTAATGTCAAAATACGACATTTTCCCCGGTAGTCGGGGATACATTCATTGTTAAAATCCCCGCTACTGTTGACCCGCTATTTTGGTTTAGTAGTAAATAATAAAACAAACACCTTTCAATCAAATTTTCTGTGATACACTGTGTACTCATTTGCGTACTACATGAGGCTAACTGGACGGAAATAAACATGTGTTATAAGTTTCTTTCAAAAAAATTCAGGCAAGGAAAAACAAACAAATACAAAAACAGGGTTGAATACCAATGTTTGCAGGGCATTTCTCAAGATGAACTTCGAAAACAACTTATCAAAATACCGACCCCCAGGGGCAATCTTGCTGTTAAAAGAACGTTAAAAACGCGTCGCGTCCCCGTTCAGTGCCCCGCTAGTCCCGGAGGGCG